GTTGATTCATAATGCACTCCCTTTGAGTGGACTCGTCCCACTGGCACATAAAACTGGATGTTAACGCGTGACCACGAGTGAAGAAATCCTGCAGGTAGACGAGCTGCGAAGGGGGGGGGGGGGCGGCGGGGCGGCAGTTAACATAATCCAAAGGTCAGAAACAGTCTTTGTTGCTGTTGTATTCAGACACTATTTCCAACAAATGTTTTGCCTGTTTGTGTGTTTTCTAGTGTCACATTTCTACTTGACATCTACATTTATTTATTTATTTATTTTTATTTATTTGGTGAAGCAAGATAAAGACAAAGAAAGTGATAACATATTTTACAAAACATAGCAAGACATAAAATAACATAAAATAACATAACGTAACATAAAATAACAAAATAACAAGTCAAAACATAATGCAGCATAACGTAATGTAACATAACAAGATGTAACTTAACGTAATTTAACTTACTATAACGTGATTTAACTTAACGTAAGGTAACATGACGTAACGTAACGTGACGTAACGTGACTTAACGTGACGTAACGTGACATGATGACCTACACTATTACAGAGAACATTGAGGTGACTTCTATATATTTTGATTTATTGAGAGGGAAGGGTTTGAAAGAGGGAGAGAAAAACACAAAAATATATAGGAAATAAACAAATAAAGTGTCAGGTATTATTTATTTATTTTCCTTCCTCTCCTACCAGGCAGATAACAGGTACTTGTTCCTTTCTGACTCAGCAAAGACTAAAATCTATGTTCATGTCAATGAAGAACTGTTGTAATTGGGGTTCAGGTGAAGGTTAAAACTCTTGTCACTTTGAATTATGTTTATATGCTGACGATCTGTTTTCTGAATGACATTTTAATAGAAAGGGACGTTGAATCTAAAGACTGGGGTTCACGTGTGGTTTTGGTTTATTTCACGTGCAACAAAATAATGTAATCGGCTGATGTCGAACACTTTCCTCTCAGACGGTGGATGAAACTCCCTCTCCCAGGTTTCTGGGGACTCACCTGCATCCCGACAACATCCCCTCCTCCTTTTATGCAAAGAAAACCAAGGTAAGTTTTAACTGTAGCAACAGATGACACAGAGAGAGGTCAAGAGGTCAGAGGTCACGTCACAAATAGGAAATAAAGCTGGTTTGAGTTCAAATCATTAGTTTATTCTCATATTCTTTTTGTTTGTCACATTTTTAATTTATTTAGGATTTTATGATTTTCCTACTCCTCTATTCTTTCTTTGTCACAGTTCAGTCAAATGTAAATGTAATTGATGTGTTTTATGTTTTACATCACGTCTCGTACAGATGCTGGTGATCTTCAGGAATCCCAAAGACACTCTGGTTTCCTTCTATCACTTCTCCAACAACAACCCAGTCCTCCCAGTCCAGTCCTGGGAATACTTCTACTCTCACTTCCTGAGTGGAGACGGTAATAAAATCGAGCCAAAGAAATTTTACTGGATGCTGATTATTAGGTCGCTGCATCTGATTATTGTTGGATCACATTTGATGTTTTAAACATTTTGTTTTATTACAACAAGAGGAAGATTTTCTAGAATTAGTTCTTTGTGTCCTCAGGACCTTGAAACTGAGACTGTATGAGGTAAATTACATCTTTTTTATGGATCTCCAGTGTGTTTCATAAAACATGATTACACAATCATTTTTCTTGTGCCAATGAACCGCATGAAAATTGCAAAACCAGCTGTGTATTAGACGGCCTCACACTAGTTTCTGACTCCCTAACTCTGCAGCTCTCAGCTCTGAAGCTGTAAATCTGTAAAAATGTTCATAAATGTAGTCAGTCCTAAAACAGCTGCTCACTGTAGCTTTAATCAAGCAAACCAGAGGAAATGGTGCCTTTGTTGGGGACTATTTTCAGCGGCGGATTGGTTTAGAGCTCTATAGCACAGAAGAGTTTGGGCTTTTAATATGAAATCTATACTTCATTCGAAATCAAAGTGTTAAATCCAGGAATCGATGAGACGGAACTGAACAACAACATAAACATCAAGCACAAAATCATGATCAATGAATCCAGATTTCCACATATTTTCAATCTTTGAGAAAATCTGAACTGATGTCAGGAGGCATGGAGTCACTCCAGATTATAAAATGTGACTTTTATTACACCCACCCATCCACCACAGAGCGCCACTTCTTGTTTGGCACATACAGTCACAGTGTGACTTGAGCTCCACTGGGTTTATGGGATAATAAACAGCGTGTTCGGCCAACTCAGCAGCTGGGTCAGGGTGGAAATGTTGGAGGCATTTAAATCCAGTTGGGGTAAAAGAAACCACTGTTTCTTTTACTACAGCAACACATTCATGAACATCACATCACAGAGCATTAAGAAGAAGAAGTAAATCATTATTTAAGCATATTTGATGTGAGATGTGATGTTATTTGGGATTTAAATTTCAGGTCCACGTCTTTTAATTTGGAATCCTGAAGAATTCCGTTGCCGCGGTTACCATGGTAACGCAGCAACCAGCCTGCTGAGCGGCTACTTTTTCAGCGGTTCTGAGGCTCTGCCCACCGTTGCCATCTTGGCAGCGCCCCTAACTCGCGGCTAATCCAAGAAAAGAAAGTCGGTTTAATAACTGTAAGCATTCGCTCCCGTTAGCATCGTTAGCACAGCTGGGCGTCTGAGTGCGCTGCTCAAAGGTTAACCCACTAGGTAGCCAATTAGCTAGCCAACTAGCTAAGCTAAAGAGTCAGGTATGGTGAGTGCAGCAACTGATACTGCTAATTAGTACCAACATATAAATAAGATAATACTATAATTTCACTCACCTGAAAAACCAGGTGCACAGACTTCTAGTGGACTGTGGCAGCCCACCTGTCACTCAAACTTTAAGCCTTAATAATATTTAAACAGGGGAGTTATATAAACAAATAGCTATAGACACCAAAACCCATTTTTGTAGCAGGCTGTAAACATGTTTATTTCTGCTGTAAAGTTGGATATTTTAACAAATAATCTGTATTTCCTCTGTCTGCTTCTCAATAAAAGTCCCCATACTTGAGGTCTTTTAATGTGAAGCAGCAGTAGTAGTAGGAAACGTTGGGTTAGTAGTAATTAGTAGTAGGATTAGCATTAGCAGGAACTGGATACACCTCTGATTTTGTAGGAAAGTGAACAGTCAGATGAATTCTATAAATGACAAAATTACAATGAGGTAAAATAGAATTACAGATCAACACTGAATCACATGCACACTCACTTTCCTGTGAATCCCTCGTGCACGTGAAGACAAACATAGACAGTACAATAAGTACCACTGAAAAGAAGTGGACCAGACGTACGAAGCAGCTTATAGTGGGAGGTACTCTGAGCTCTATAACTCTTCCAGTGTGACTGTAAACCATCATCGCTGCCTAGAGATTACAGAGCTGTAAAGAGCTTCACTTTATAGCTTTAATTACCCAGCAGGCACCTCAGGCAGAGCCGTGCGTGTGTGAGGCTGAAAACATCCAGACGCAGTGCTCAGATATCAGAAACATTTTGACCCAATTAAATTTAAACTTTTCGAAATCTCTGCTTTTATTTTACGCCACATTTTTACGCAAATAATGCTGGAAGACGTCGGTGAAGTTTGGAGTGTTTGATGTCGGGGTTAATAATTAGTTTTGTTTGTTGGAGCAGTTTTCAACAGTTAAAGACGTAATATTTGTTTTCATTGTTTGATTTTGTTTTGTGTGTGTGTGTGTGTGTGTGTGTGAAGTTCCTTGGGGGTCATACTTTGATCACGCTCTGGCCTGGGAGAAGAGGATTGACGACCCTAACGTCATGATTGTCACCTATGAAGAGCTAAAACAGGTGCTCACACGCTGATTGTTCAGTTTCTGTCGGACAGACTGTCGTGGCGTTGAAGCAATTTTAAAAAATAATTTTATTTTTTACATATGAAATGTTTAAAAATCACTTGTTTCAATGGAGCATTTGAATTAATAACTAAACTTTAAATGAGAAATTGACACGTGTAACACAAAAGGCAGGTGAGGTCTTGCTGTTGTCACCTGATGTTTGATGGTTTATCACCTGTATAATGTGATAAATTCATATGTGCTTTAGTTTCTGTTTCCATTTTCCAAACTATCTATGAGTGTTTAAACTCATTTCCTTCCTTCACGTAGTCTTGTTTAAAACCTCAGAGGACACATCGAGGTACAGACAAACAATAACTCAAATCAAACACATTATATGCAATTATACACACTAATTATGATAATTATATATACTAATGAGGCCAACTTAAAGTTCTGTTGAATAACATTGAAGTATGTGGGGCACAGATCCTCCTAACTCTGTCTGAATGTCTGAATGTCTGGGCCTCTGACATTCCAAGTGAAAAAGCTTCATAAATCAGGAAGGATTAGAGCGGATCCCTCCGCACTGATCCCATAACTATCTCCTGATGAAGCTTAATGCGCAGTGATCTACTGCAACAACAGGTCTGATGGTGCAACTGGCCGAACACCCGTAAATGAAATCCCTGTAATCCGACACAGAGAGGAGAACTCTTTCTCTCGTAAATAAAGGAAACAAGATTTATGTCTGAAAAGGAAATCCAACTTCAACCTCACTTCGGATCACAGCTGATCAATGTGGATTTTAAAAGTAAGTTAGATATTAACCCTTTCAGGTCTCATTTTCTACATTATTTCTTTGATTCACCTTTTAAAGGGTTCTTACATATAAATAACACCCAAGTGTTTCATATCACAACGTTGAGAACAACCTCCTCACCGTGCAAACAGACCATTCGGCCCAAATGATAAAAACCTAGTTTTTGAAATCCTTCAAATATTTAGTGAAAACAAAGATGAGTTGAAATGTGTTCAGCAAAGTCTGTAGGTTCATAAAAATAGAGCAACATGTGAGTAAAATAGATGAATGGAGAATAAATGCAATAAAATGAACTGAGTTGTAGTTGTCGTCTGTCGCTCTCACAGGAATATTTAAAGGAAAGTTGAGAGTCGACAGATTCTAACATTTAAATCATATTTCTACTTTGTACTAACGTAACGATATTAATAGAAACATCCATCGACCTCAGAGGGGTAACAGAACAAATTTCAAAACGACCATAGTTAATATTTCTTGAAAATATTGATTGAAACCAATGACTAATATTGACTCTTTCACAGTCGTTGGTTTCAGTTTATCTTAATGAATCACTTTAAGTTCACTTCCTCACTAACAGAGACCTGGAGTTTCTGTCGTTAATGGCTCTGTTTCGGTTTCCTGTCCTGCAGGACCTGAGCGAGGGCGTCCGTCAGATCTCCAGCTTTTTTGGTTTCAGCCTGACGGAGGCTCAGGTGCATCAGATCGCCGAGGGGAGCACCTTCACCGCCATGAAGGAGAGCTCCGCCAACTCCCACGGCACCATGGGAAATGTCATCTTCAGAAAAGGTTCCTGAATCATTTCACAAACGGCATCTTGGGTTTCACGTGAATACAGGAAGTTAACTGTGCCGTGTTTCTGTACCTGAACAGGTGAGGTCGGGGACTGGAGGAACCATTTTACACCTGAGCAGAGCCAAGAGATGGACGAGGCCTTCAACAAACACCTGGCGGGAACCAGGCTGGGAGCGAAACTCAACTACCAACTGCACTGCCAGTAGGAAGAGAGGGAGGAAGAGTTTGTAGAAGAAGAGTGTGCGAAGACTTTTCAGCCCTGAGCTGAGTCAGACCCCGACCGTGGCATCCACCCTCAACCACGCTAAGCTAAAGTGGAAGAGGAGGGTGTCAGAGGCCGCGCAGAAAGTGACAGGAAACGCTGCCTGCGAGGCTCAGCTCAGGGCTAAAAGTCCCAGTGTGAAGAAAGATGGAGGAAGAAGAAGAAGAAGAAGAAGAAGAAGAAGAAAACGTTGTTCTGCAATGGAAACTATTAAAGAATAGTTTGACATTTTGGGGGGTCAGTGCCACTTTTCTTCTCTGTGGATGGAACAAATAAGATGTTAAAGTGTTAAAGGTGATAGGTTACCTGTTTCCAGTCTGGCTGTGGCTTCATATTTACAGTAGTAGTAGTCATGACGATGAGTATTTCCCAAAATGTCAAACTATTCCTTATAACACCTCACAAGCACCTGGGAGTTAAATATCAGTGACAAAACGTGACAAACTCACTGTTCAACGACACAGAAAGCAAAAGGGAGAAATCTCTCTGATGTTTTGTTTTTCTCAGATTTTTCACCTGAACATTTAAAGCTGATAAAAACTGAGATTTCTGAAGGAACCTTTTGTCAGTTTGTGGAGACAGAAAATCCTAATTGGCTTAAACTCACCTCAAATCATGCAACTCTTCTTTTAGATTTAAACGTTAGTGCCCCCGTGTGGTCGCACCAAAGAAGACATGGTGGCAGACAGCAGGGCCACAAGATTAATTCAACATAAAAGCACATAAAAATCAAACCCTTCATATGGTTTTTGGTTGATGTTTGCTTTAAGCACATGCAGTTTGTATTCAGCTACTCAGATTCACTGAGTTTCCACCAAAATATCACAAGTGCAGCTTCAGTCAGCAGCTCAAGTCTCAGGTGTCAGATTTTTCCACCAGCACATGAATGTTAAGTGTCAGGTTGTTTTATTCACCGATGTTCAACAACTGATTAAAACACACAAACCGCTGAATTGTCTTTGTTCTGGCAGCTACCTGAACTCATGTGGAATTAATTCTTGAAACGTCATTCTGTGAAACTGTGGCATTGAAACAATACTGTGATGATATTATGGGCTGTTATAAATATGCACAGTCACTGTTTGTATAATTCATAATGTACAGTACATCACTGTACATGATCATGGTGAAAAATAAAACTCTTTTTCCAGACGGTTAGTTGTTTGTGTCCATCGTTATCACTCAGGGCTGAGACTCACATGATTATATATGTAAAGTGAGAATGTCACTTTAAATATATTATCCTTCACCTGAATGAGTAAGTCAAGTACTCAAACTATGCTGCATTCATGACAGTGCAAACAACATACAGGATTATGCAAAACCACTTTCAGAAACAACATGAAGCTTTAAATTGATCCGGGCTGTAGATTATGTTTACTGTTTAAAAATCCTCAGATTTGATACAGTTATGTCAGGATATTTCCTTTGCCACTATCTATGGGATGGTGAGATAACAAAATACAAAATACAAAACAACAACAGTTTGAACAACAAAAACAGTAATATACAGTATATAAAACAAGGTGAAGAATTAATACGTTTGTACATTGTATGTTCTGTTGACTGAAGTCTTCTAATCATCCAGAAAAATTAAAAGACACAGCTTTAATCTAAATCAAATATTATAAATTACAATCTATACATGAAAAATTGTATTTAAATGAATCAAAATTAAAGGGTTTTTTAAAATCATAATCAGGACTCAAAGTGCCTCAGATGTTTTTACTTCCTGTTTACAAATGTTTGTATTGAAAATACACAACAAGACATTTGAGGTTAAATGTCTGCAGCCCTGCTTTCACAGAATTCCCACCTAATAATTTATTGTTTTATTCATTATTTTATCTCATTTTACATTAATATTTTATATATCAATGCTTTCAACAATGTTTTATGTTCATTTTATGTCTTTTCTTTTCATGTGAGGCACTTGGTGCATGTCATTTCTTTGTTGTAAAGCACTTTATGTTTTATTTCTTGTATGAATGGTGCTATATAAATAACGTTTTTTATTGTTATTACTATTGAAAGACCTTATTAAAAAACGTTGTTTTGAAAATCCAGACCGGAAACCAAACGTCACCGGTTTTAATTTTGATAGGCCTGACCGGATGTCGCGTTGTTATTGATGTGGCTAACGCGGACTGACCTGACGTGTGGTCGTCTGTTAAGTGAATGACATCATGCGGGCTGCTGTCTGTCTCCATCTGCAACATGACGCCTTCAGACACTAACGGTTAGACGTGTATTTACGGTCTGCCGTTAAACTTCACCCGGTAAGAGCCGCACGTTAAATCCCATTCACGTTCGGTAATGATTCAGCGCTTGTTTCTCTGTAGCTAGCTAGCTAACGTTAGCCCGCGCTGCCCGAACAGAGCGGAGCATCAGTCCGGCGCAGCTAACGGCAGAGTTGGCTAATAATGCTAAAGATTGTGGGAGGAATTGACACTGTTACGCGGTTTTTTAGACGCAGAAAACAAACTGTAAAATGAAAAAAATATATATCCTGTTGGTTTTGTTTGTGTCTCGGGAGTAAAGCCGCTGTCCACCTGCTCAGGTCACCTGCTGCCTCCCAGTCTGTCCTCCTGGCTCCTGTTCAGGCTGAATACAACGCACTTTCAATGCAAATCAATGAGGTGTCCTGCTGCCACATAGAGGAATTACAGAACTCATTTATACATTAAAATACAGGAGTGTTGCTATGACAAATGTTTGCAATGAGCAGTGTAAAATTATCATTTAAGTTATTGTTTTTATTGATGGTAAATTAATTGACTTAAAGACACAAATTTAGAAACTTTTCATTGGGGAACAATAAACTGCATTTATTAATACTTACATTGGTTATTCAGTGTAATAAATGAATGCTAAATGAGCGAGTGTAAGTAATCTTATTTATGAAATAATATCAATTAATAGCTGATAATAATAAAAATAATAATTTCAAATAATCCACAGGCAGAGACAGATCAGGAGACACAGATGTGTTTTTCATGTTTATGATAATTACATCTGGTCCAGTCTTGTGCTGCAACACAGAGTATACATTTGCATATATGAGTCATTTATGCAGTTAATAACAATACACTTTCTGTCAGCCAGTTTTGTGCTTAAATAAACTCAAAGAAATAAACAAAATATGTTGACTGACTGAAATGGAGTAAATAATAATTAATGTCAGAAAAAAGTCTTTGCGTTATTGTAATTTTTATTTTTATTTTAGCTGGTTCCACTTACTGTGTAGTTCAGTAAAATTCCTCCATTGTGTATAAATGTTTCTATGATTTTTTCCACATGAATCAATTAATAATTTATTTTGTAAACTGTCAGAATAAGTGAAAAATGTTTTGTTCAACCAACAATTCAAAATTCAGAAATATTAAACATGTTATCACATCAATAGAAACATAAGCAGCAGAAAATGGAACTAGAGAATATTTGGCATTTTTGCTTGATGGTGATTTGAAATATTAATCGATTTTCAAGACAGCTGCTAAGTATCTCTGCTAATCGACAAATTGATCAATCAGCCATGTTTCAGCTTTGAATTTGTTTAATATTTCTATTTCATGATTAATGAGTTTAAATTTAGTCTGAAAAATGTCTGTGTCCAAACCCCAAAGATATTCAGTTTATGATGATATAAAACAGAAATAAACAGGAAATCGTCACATTAGAGAAGCTGGAGAATATTTGGTCTTTTTGCTTGATAAAAATTATTTTCTGCTTGTTAATTAATTAATTGTTTTAACTTTAATTGCCTCAGTTTTGTGTCTCATTACTGCAGGTGTGATGCAGCAGAAGTTGTGTTCCAGAGGTTCAGGTTCTTTCCTCTTGGAGAGGAACGGCCAGGCATGTGGCGCCATCACTGACCCTGTCACCTCCTGCGACCTCCCCTTCCGCTGCCCCCGCTGCGGTGAGCAGGAGCGTTTCCGCAGCCTGGCCTCGCTGCGCGCCCACCTGGAGTACCGCCACTCGTACCGCTCGCCGGACGTGGTCACAGGTGCCTTCAGCATCACCGGGAAACTGCCCGACCCTTTGACGGCGGCGATCCCCTGGCACGACATGAGCCTCCCGACCCGCAGGGGGCAGCAGAGCGGGGGGCGGCCTCCTCACGCACGCTCCCTAAGTGACAGCAGAGACAGCGGATACCTCCACTCCTACAGTTCTGTGAGAAGGCGCACGCAAAGCGTCGGCGTGGGAACGCAGGCCGAGGAGGAGGAGGAGGAGGAAGATGAGGAGGAAGGTTGCACAGATGATGAAGATGGAGGAGAAGAGGATGAGGAGGAAGACAATGGTGAAGAGAGAGATGGAGGTAGAAGTGAGGAGGACATCAAAATGTCCCCAAAGAAGTCAGATGCAAGTCACCATCACTTTAACCACCATCACTTCCCGTTCCTGCCTCTGGCTTCTCTTGGCCCCCCGCTGGACCCGGACCTGGACCCAGACCTGGACCTGGATCTGGACCTGGACCTGGTCGGTGCGTTCAGATTTACGTACTTACTCACTTATTGGTAGATGTAGGTTTTCAGGAAGTGGCAGAAACTCAGACTCAGATGTTCAGGAGATGGTGATCAGTGATCAATAATCATGATGACAGTATCAATCAGCACAGTCATGGTTACATCTGCAGTGACTCTCATTTCCTTTACCGTAACCAGAGCAGAACTCGTACTCTGGGTTGGAGACGGCGGCGGCCTCGGCCGCGGTGCGTCGGCGGCTGGCCAGCATCCTGCGGGCGGCCGACAGCACCATGCAGCGGCGGCTGGCCAAGGTGAGCACGGAGCTGGCCCAGACCGACACGGAGCTCCTGTGTGAGCGCGCTCACTCGCAGCACCTGGCCCAGGAGAGGCAGGAGGTGGCAGAGCGGGAGAGGTCGCTGAGCCGCCAGGTGGACGTGGCTGTCATGGTGATCGCCGCGCTGAGGGAGCAGCTCAACGCCTCGGAGAATGAACTGGAGCGACGAGAGAGGTAAACAGGCGTTACGTGCTGGAACTACAGCAGCTGGAGAATGGACTTTTCCCCTTTAACCTTTAATTTGAGCCTGCACATGCAGGGGTCCACTGGAATTCTGGGTACTTTGGCGTGGACCCAGGACACCCTGGCGGTAGATGTGATCCTGCACGGACCACCCGTGAATTGAAATGTCAAAACTCAGTCTGTCAGACGTCTGAAAACGACATGAACTTCTGACAGAGCCAAGAAATGCTGCTCACAGCTGTGCTCATGATGAAACTCCGTTAGCCGTGACAAGGCCGACTTAACGCCGACTTAATGCCGGAGTAGATTTAGTTATTGGCCCTTTGCCTTGTTGAGGTGTTGAGGGGTGTTATTGGTATTATTATTGGCCAGCCGCAGGTGAAAACTACATTTATTCAGCTGCTGTCCTTGATGACATAACGTCTGTTTTCCAGGGAGGTGATAACCATCCAGAAGTTTCTGGAGGCGGCGGCTCGACAGGAGACCTGCGGCAAAGTCCGGATCCAGCGCTTCATCGAGAACCTGCTGAGACGCATCGCTCTGGCTGAGAGACTGGTGGAGTATTACCAGGTCAACGGCAGCCCGTCTCAGTGCAACCACTACAAGGTACAACACACACATACACACACACGCTGTGTTCATCAAAGTTTAAGAAATGTTTTCTGCTCGGATTTTCGTCGTTGAGCGCTGGAGTGAAAACGTGACCTCTGACCTTTTGTGTCTCCTCAGCAGCACCAGCAGCCAACCAATAATGGACCTCACAGAATCACTAAAAGCAGGTGAGTCGCACCAGGAGTCATGACGGCAAAGTAAAATCATTTCAGTAGAATCACCAGAGGCAAATTAAAAACAAACCACCATTTTCCCGTTCAGTATTAAATAGATAAATAAACAAATGCACCACTTTTAAATTATTATATGAATAAATGAATTGGCTGTTGCTGATGACGGAGACCCAACGAGATGACAGTCTCTGCCACTTTTATCTTTATGGAGAGACCGACTCTGGCAGTCACGAAGGCGGACATTTTAAAACAAAAACTGCTGCCAAAGAAGCACTTATATTTATAATTTCATGGTCACATCTGTATTTTTCCTGTTTATCCGTATGATTATGACTTATTCATTTAATATTGAACACCTCTGGTCTCCAGATCAGACAGAAACAGCTCCGACCTTTGAGAAAATGTCAAGTCAGAAAGTTCAGACTGGACGAAGCCGTGTTGTTGGTCATGTTAAATTCATGTTCGCCTGCTCTGCTGAGGTTTAAACTCCTCCACAGTGGAGGAATGATCTGCAGTGAGGAAACACTTGAAGCGTTTAAAGCTGATGTTCTTGTAAAAGCTGTTGGGAGATACTTTAGTTGAAGTTTTCCCTGAAGAACATGAATATAAACTTTGTGTGTTTGGACTTTTAAAGCTCCATGTTTCTTCTTCTTCTGTGTTTTATTTGAAGTGTTGATCCATCAGAAGATATAAAAACCATCTCAGTGTAGTTTCACATCTCCTCTCTCAGGCTTCTCTCTGGAGCTCTAGTAACAACAGGTCTGTGAGCCAATCAGAAGAGAGGAGGCTCTGAGCCTCTCTTCTGATTGGCTGAATGTTTCCTGACTGGTCCAATAAAAATATAGCAGATTTCAGGTAAAAACACTCAGAGAAACCAAATCCTGCAAGGTTTGGATGGTGGGTCCAGGTGGGCGGGGCTTGGTGACTGCTTTGTTGTGACATCACAAAGTTCCAGAAGTCCTGACGGCTGGTTTTAAGGCTCAGTTTCTGAATACAGGCTGTGTGCATTTCTCTGTGGACTGAGGCTTTGATACTTTCACAGTATTAATATAGAAGCTAGAGCTGATCTATAATCACACTACACATGGACACAGACCTTTACACTGGAGGAGCTTTAAGAAATGCTTCACAGTGTTACAACCTCCTGTAGACTTAAAGAGTGGCATTTAAAAGTTAGTAGTTTTTCAGTTTGAATTCATGTCAGTTATAAAAACATTGATATTTGTGGACAAATTTGTGTTTAGGATTTAAAATCTAATTAAGTTCTATTGGAAGTTTCTTTTAGATTTATCTGTCACCGTTTTAGACATCACCAGCTGACGGACGTCACCTCTTGAACTAATCAGATTGAGCTGTAAAAGGCTCATTGCTCGGCAGGAGTCGTCCTCTAACAGGTGGAACAGGTAAACTGCTGCTGCTCTCAGTCACAGCCAGAAGGCGACACAGCGGCTGCTCGATCGTCCACCAGGACTCTGAGTCGTCGTCATGTTTAATTCATCGCTGAACATGTGACACTTTGTCCTTCTGCTCAGTCCCTGGAGTGGCATCACCTGTGATTTTTGTCTGGAGCTCTTTGAATTACATCATCTTGTTGTGCCTTCTTCTTCTGCAGTGAATTTAAGGCACCAACCACCGACTCCTAACAGTAGTGGTTGGATAATAACGTAATTTGCAAATCCTGATAAAATTTGGAGTAAATTTGTTATTGTTTTTTTTTAAATCACTAAATCACTATGAAGGAGCAAGTGAAGACAAAACAAGAAGAGACACATGAAGCTCTTGTGTAACTTTAATTAAAAAAAACTGCTCATGTTTCCGTGTCGTTCCCAGGTCGGCGGGAGGTCAGCTGTCCTCGTCCGGTCTCCATGACAGCAGGACCCACTCCTCCTCCCAGTTCGGCAGCCGTCCTCCGTTCTCCAAACCCGGCGCGGAGCGAGACCGGGAGCGGGAGCACCGGGAGCGGCTGGCCCAGTCGTCCAGGTTGTTCTGCCGACCCGAGCACAGAGACGACATCTGGAACCACCAGCGCCGCCGCTCCGCCGGGTACGAGGCCTAGAACTGTAGGGACACGCCGGGGAGAGGGGACGTCAGCGGGTAAAACCTCATTACACAGTGACTTTATTCCAGTGTGATAACCTGTGGAAAAGTACTGCAAGGTCACAGCCACATCAAGCTTCTATGGAGTAGCTCATATTAAACAATTCTCTTCAGTACAATTATCCATTTAAAACAATAAAGTCCTCGAATCACATTTAATATGACCGCAAACCTTTTACCAACAAAAAGGTTTCCCGCAATCTGATATTCTTGAAGCAGTTAAGAATCAGAAAATCAAGTTTAGCAATGTTTCTTTCACATGGAAACGTTGGAAAATCTTCAAATTTAGGCAAAATGTCAGTGACGTACTATTAACTGAAAAGTCACAAGATTTTAGGTTAAAATGAGACCATTCCTAAAAAATATATGCATAAAGATTATTTCAAATAATTTTACAAATGTCACATTAAATGTTTGTACAGTTCCCTGGAAATTTATATTGAGTTATTTATGTAAATCAAACCAGAGCTGCAACGATTAGACGAGTAATTGATTGACAGGAAGTTAATTTCTTTACCAGCTTCTCAAATGACAGCGGGAAACTGCAATGAACACTTGTCACTATTTAACTGTCAGTTTACAGAGGAAACGATTAGCAGTTGTCAGCTGCAGCCTCTAAAGTAAACAATAAAGAAAACCTTAGACAATAAGAAATAATGTTTATTTAAAACATAAATCAAAACCTCTTTTATAAATGACTGCTAGTTGGCTCTGGGCAGACTGATCCCTGATGAGAGAATAAAAACCAACTTTTCCATCTTGTTTCAAACACATCACAGTATCTAATACTGTGTAACAGGGTTTAAGAACATTATGCAATAATGAATATTACTGCATGAACAGTTTTTTTATTGCCAACACTGCTATTGTGTATTTTGTACTTTTCCATCGATTATTTCACTGAAGTAAACCACAGCTACACTGGGTGCTTCTCAGCAGGATGCAAGTGTGGATAAAGTTTCACTATTCAAACACAGAAATGAACGACAGCTTCACGTCTTTTATCTGATTTGACGGCACAAATCTTAATATTTAGTGCAGGATAATTAATAATTTAGTGACACTTCAGTTCTGAATTCTTTCCTTTGTATTTTAGAGAAACTTCAGGTAAAAATGTGATTTTATATTCGTTCACTGGTTTAAGATTTAATCACAGTCGAGTTCTGATCATGGAAACGAGTTGGTTTCTTCCTGAAGTGTAAATAGTTCCCAGTGCTGTTGATGACACGTCCTCTCCTCTGGTCCAAACCTTCACGTCTCGGCCTGGTTCCCCAAAAACTCCCGATCAGTCCGGTTGTCTTCTGTCTGTCTGTGCTTTTAAGGCCAAACGGCCGCGATCGATGATCAATCATCTTGATAGATGACGCACCTCCAAACAGCATGTGTCCCATGTTAGCTTAGCATCCTGAACCAGGCGCCGCAGGTCTGTCAAGCTTTAATTTCTCCCCTTGTTGAAGCGACAGTAAGAGACTCACTATGCATTTAAACAGTTTGGATGGTGGTGTTTTCTTTTACCTTCTCTAACACCAAAAACACAGTGTAAAGAATAGATCAACAGTGTGTTTGTCAGCTCCAGAGCCGGGCAGATGCTGTATGGATTCGGCCCTGAATTGGCCCGTATTTGCGAATGTGGTTCGAAATCACGACACCAGATTTATCCCCTGAGCAATTAACGATCGAGCTCCTGGCGCTCTGTTAGGTCAGAACGTTTTCTCGGCTCTGCAGTTTGGTCGGTTCCACAGTCAGATTTCCCACAAGTTGACGAGTGATCCTTTTTGAACCTTGATTTTATTCACTGGAGTAATATTTTACATCATGTGGGTGAAACTGTAGCTTTGATATCATGTTGCCTGCATCTGCAGCTCCGTATTATTCTTTATATCTTCTTACTTCCTGTTTATTATAGAATTGCACAAAGTAACGCTGCCTTTCCGTCTCTCTGTCAACACTGAGGATGAAGTAGTTTTGTTTGAGTAAAACTGGAGACGCCGCCAATACCGATCGTGTTCGTCGTGGCATCCCCAGATAAAACTGACCGGGAGTCCCGTGGTTAACGCTCAGCGTGAGCTTGAGGTCGTGGCCGATCAGTTGATCTGTAGTGTGAGTGTGAATGTTGCAGGTTGAGGTCGTGCAAAACATGCATCTTAAATTAATGCAACGTACTCACACCGGCCTTAATTTAAGCTACAAACATTAGCATATCTGGCTAACTAGCTTCCTACCTACATTAGTGCCCCAGCGTTATTTCCAAGGGGCATTTCATGCTACACAAGTTTATGAAGTGACTGTTTGAAAACAGAAACTTGTCTGTAAACTAAGCATCTGGAGACAGGGTTATTAACCAGCTCATGAAGCTAACATTAGCATAATTAGCTTGCTAGCAAAATCTGCCAGCAACATTTTCTTTAGCCGACAGAAGTCTGCTTTTGTCTACCTCTGTCTGAAGTCTAGGAGCCAGTGTTTATAGAATTAATAATAATATTCAAGCTTGACAGACAAAGTGAACAATTAATAAACTGCTGTTTCCATCAAACCTGCACCACCAGCAGCATCAAGCCTCCCTCCAGTATCAGAGTAGTCATGGTCAAACTGGTGGATCAGATTGCTGACAGATCACTGGTTCGTCCTCATCACCGGAGTCATTGTGCCATAAAACATATAATCTACACTTCATCAGCAACTATTCATATCTTTTTTTTCATTGAAATATTTTTTGATTTGGAAACAGCTTCCTCTCAGAGGCTCAGACTGGAAGCTGGAGGAGGCTGTGGATGTTTTTTGGTGCTTCTGTTACCGTCAGAAATGAATTATGTGGCTAATGATCCCTCATATTATTCATTTGGTTTTCATTGTATCTCTGTATTTTTCATCAGATATTTAAAGTTATAAAGTTATTGTCACATATGCACAACAAAAATGAACATGAAGCATGTTTTGTAGTTGAGATGTTGGTTCGCTGATTTGGTTTGTAAAGCACAGACAGGACTCTGATGACACCAGACCTGGGTCACGTCATTGCTGCATATAATTCTTGGCTTGTGTTAGAACCGGCTTCAGATGCCAGGTGGCTGGGGTTCACCACAGTCGGACCAATCCGGACACTGTCTGGTAACTGTGTATAGACAGAAACGTTATGTATGTTGAAAATACTTTATTGTGTTTTTTATTTTTCCTGGCAGTCGTGGTCCGACTGTACGTAACCAGTCACCCACCGGTCTGCCGCCAAACCAGGAAGTGTAGTGGAGGGTAAACGCAGATAAACACACGTTTACCCATGTTTTGGTTTGTTGAACACTCCACCTTTATTTAAAGGAGCAGTTCAACATTATCAGGAACGCTTGTTTTCCATCTTAACCAGAATCCGATCAGAAGATAGATCAGGTTCAAGAGATATTCAGGACGTTTTAGCCTAGCTTAGCATAAAGACTGGATGGAGGGGGGGGTCTGCTAGCTTAGCTTCATTGAGGTAAAAACATTGTATTTTTATTCTTGTCAGCAAATCTCATAAAAAGCCAAAAACCCCAAATTAATGTGTGTCAATCAGAAAAGCATCAAATTCGCACTACAACACAAAATGTTGATTAATCCGCCGCTGAAAATAGTCCCCAACAAATGCACCACTTCCTCCAGTTTGAGTTAAAGGAGCTATTTGTAAGATTTGCTATCACTACATAGTTAACGTTAGCATTAGCAGCTGTTTACTCATCAGTCTAAAAGAAACATTGTTGTGAGCTCAGCATCAAACGTCATCCTTTACTCTCCAGTGGTGAAAAGTAACGCTTCTATTTCTATCACTACTTCTACTGACGTTAGCATGCTAACCAACTAGCCTCTGTTACTTTCCGATAGCGAGTCACTGTATCGTCCAGTCTGCCCTGAAGAAGTAACGCTGCTGAGAATGCGCATTATAACTTCTTGTCTTGTAAATGCAACAATAGCTGAAGCCAAGACGGGTAAGTGAACAGCTGTTAATGCTAACGCTCGCTAATAGCTAAACTTACAAATAGCTCCTTTCAAAAACTAAATTTTCCAGCTGTTTTGGGAAATTAAAAATTAAGCTATATATTTGAGAGCTATTTTATACTTATTGACATCTTCAGAAGGAGCCAATGAGCTTGTTGACAATAAGAACAATAATTTATAACATCAGATTTATCCTTTAATTCCTTTGATAAAGTCTTTGTGCTAACGGCTTTGGAAAACGTACCCTCCACTCCACTGCCAGATGAAACGAGCCTCGTACATGCAGCAGCTCTGGCGGACACCACACATACAACGAATGTACTCTGAGTTAACGTATAGCTCATACCGAAGAGATGCCGTGCTTTAACGCCCGAAGTCTGCCGGGTCTTAAACTCGCTCTCGTTCACACACAGAAACGGGTGGAGATTCTCCGATCTCACACACACACACACACACACACACACACACACACACACACACACCAAAAACAAACAAAAACAAAAAACGAACGACGTCGTTATCAGCGCTCTCATCCAAAGTGACTTACAGTGCCGTGAACGCTTACAGTACATCTGCAGTAAACTAAACAAACTCATGACGGCTTGTTTAATAGAATCATTCCTCTCTCTGTATCGTTCCGTACGATCTGTTTACACGTCATCTTTTGCACTCATCCGGTCATAAGAATGTAAATGTAAAAGACGGTATTCGGTGTAAAATGTATCTTTGCTGTCATTGGTTTAGGTTTTGTTGACGGTGTTAATAGATATTTTGTATACAAAGCTATTATGTGTCGTCAAGTGGAAGTAGTAGTCCGACAGTACTTTAACTTGGCAGAACAACCACAAATCATGTCTTTTTATTTTTTTATTTTTCAACAGGGTGTCTGCCGGTCCTGGAAAAGTCTTAAATTACGTCGACTAAATTCAAGTCCTTCAGTGTTTTACAAAACTTGAACATACATCTTGGTGTGTTGTTCTTCTGCTGATGCTTCCAGTGGCGACCCTAGACTCCGGGGGGAAGAGGCCCATCAAAGAGCCCCCCCTCCCCTCCCCTCACATGACTCTTGGCAGACGCTACAATTTACAGATGTCCCCTAAACGCCTCACACGCAGACAATGGGTAGATGCTAGCTACAGCACATCATCAGGGGCCAGCAGTGCACTGTATCGTGTCTTTTTAAGGTTTAAGGAGGTTTATAGTTGTCACTGCAAAATGTGCCAATATGAGGGGCCATCGGGGGCCCCCTTTTCCCCCTTGGGGGTCCCCAAGCATTTGCCTGGTTTGCCTCCTCTGGATGCTTCATATACTTTAATTTTGTAGTTATTACAAGTGCGTCGCTCTTATTTAAATTTCTAATTGGCATTAATAAGAAAGTCTTGATGAAAGTGAATGGACCTCGCAGGCACCCTTATCAAAGACCATGATTTGTTCCAAAGTTATTGGAAGTTGCCAATATTTTTAAACCAGATGATGTACAGTGTTTTTTTGTTTTCTTTCATCAGTTGAACAAACTGAGTCAGATTGAAATATTAGAATTTCCCGATAATACATGTTAAATGGAATATATATTGAATATAAAGTTTAAAAGAGAAAAAAAAGCATTAATCATCAGTTTTTAACTAAACCCTGAAACGCAGAGGGTAAACTGCTTCTCACCACATCAAAACCTGATCCAGATTAATCTGGATCAGGTTTCCCCCTGAGTGTCCCAGAGATCTGTGTGTGGTCAGACCAATGAATCCTGTCGCACTGAGACTGAGTGTTACCGCTGCTGTCAATCAAAAACCCAGTTTCTCTTCGTTTCTCAGCGACTGAAAGAACCAAGAGCCGACACACAAACGTCTAAATCAGTGAACGTTTTTTTTTTGGTTTTAAACCAAAAATGAAAACACGTAAAAAACACAGAGCAGTTTTTCCGTTTCTGTCGTCAGAATTAATAAACGAAAAACAAGATCATCAAATTGGAAGAAATGGTCCCATTTTGGTGTGAAGGTAAATATTTCAAAATAAAAGCCAAGAGGATAGTGTAGACAGACAGACAGTTTGTTTGTTTATTATATGTTTATTTGTTTATTTCTCTGACATGGATGAAGGGATTAAATTTTTGGGGTTAGATGTGGAATATCTATGAATTTAAATTTTTTTCTGGTGTCTGTTGAAACGACCTTAGAGGCTTATTATGTAGTTCTGTTTATTTTGCTCTTAATGATTAAATAAATCATCTAAACTCTGCAGCTCTGATCACAGTCTTGATGTTTTGCTCTGGTCAAAATCACTGAAAAGCGAGTGGTTGGGTTTTTATAAACAGCAGCGTAACTCCTGAAAGGTGTGTGTGTGTGTGTGTGTGTGTGTGTGCGTGTGTGTGTGTGTCTGTGCATGTGCGCAGTGCTTCAGGTTTACATCTGGTGAACTGCTTCCTGTTGTGAGTGTCTGGTGCTCGGACACTGGACGGTGGTAGAAGGTGCATGACGCAGACCTACTACTACCACTACTACTACATATGTAGCTTTTGTGTTACTGTGAAAGCATGCTTCATATGTAGCGGAGAAAAAAAAAAAGCAAAGTACTTATAAAATACTGTTATCTTGTACTACTATGTGTACTTTTGTAGCAGAGCGAGGTCTATTTTAATGGTATTTGAAGGAGAGTTGCACTAAACCAACGGAGAGCTCTTAGCTTGGAGCTGTTGGGTTTCATACAGAGGGAGTGTTGTAAACCGGACAATCAGCAGGGTTCATGCACAGGTTCGGAAAAGTCTGGAAAATCAATTTTATTACTTCTGTGTTTTGGGGGGAAAATGTGCAAGAGAGAAAAGAGAAGTGGGTGAAACGGTAACCGAACACGTATCCTAACCGGAGTTAATGTTAGTTTGATTCTTACGACACTACTACCTTTCTTGCCGTGAGTCGGTAGAGACGAAGTTAGTTTTATGTTGTGGCCGAGTTTGATATCCCCGAGTTCATCATGTTCGTCTGTAGGGATTTCGTTTTGCAGAAGTAATCTCTAGTTTTGTGCCTTCACTCAAAAACTCTGTAGTCTGTATAACACTGTGCAAAATGCAATACTGTGAAGACCTGGAAAACTTTTTATGTTGAAACTTGTTGGTCTGTGATGAAACCATTGAAGATTAAAGAACAAACATGACACCGAGACGAACGCCATGTTTTGTTGTTATTCACAGGTTGTGGATTTCATCACTGGTCTCCAGATAAAACTGAAACATGTCAAAGTCCGACCTATTAAATTTATTGTAATGCTTTACTCATTAGTTACTCTGCAGGTTTATTTTACTAATTCAAGTATTGTGTTATTTATTATTATTATCGACACTCGGCCCCAAGCCTATTATCTGCTGATTCTCTAAAGTACACGCAGACTTGAACTTGACGTTTCAGGTGATCGTCTGGATATACTGTTTGTTTCCAGCCTGTCTGACATTAACATGATTAATGCAATGTAATAATTACTTATGAATACAAAAATAAGACCCAAGTTAAAATAAACAGCAATAAAATTAAAAAAAAAAAGTACTTACAGTTGATTAAGCCTCATTGACTTGTGTCTATGTTTATTTATAAACTCAAGTAAATTTTACATTTGTTGAATGTCACTAAACTTATATATTCAAATTAAGTGTAATTTTATATTTGTATTCTTCCATTTACATCTGTTGTTTTTAACTGTGATCTTGGGATTAAAATTACTTTTTAAAAGAAACAAAGTCAAAACTTGAATCTGAAGAATGTGACACGTCTTGGAAAAGTTAAATAAAGAGATAAATACTGTAACGTGATTTACTGTAACTTACTGTATTTTTGTTGCAGTACTCACAAACGGCCACTTGGGGTCACTGTTTTCACATGAATACTTCAGTGTCTTCCTGTTCACAGAGAGGCTTCACAGGCTGCTCTGGGTTTTTACCTCAACATGGTTCAACATCTTGTTCATCAGTAACTGATTTCCAACATTTCCCATAATTCCCCCTGTGAAGTTCCAGTGCTCAGGTGAGTTTTTTTTATTTAGGAGCATTTTATTCTTGATTGTTTCCTGAGTGATCCAATAAAAATATAGCAGATTTCAGGTAAAAACACTCAGAGAAACCAAATCCTGCAAGGTTTGGATGGTGGGTCCAGGTGGGCGGGGCTTGGTGACTGCTTTGTTGTGACATCACAAAGTTCCAGAAGTCCTGACGGCTGGTTTTAAGGCTCAGTTTCTGAATACAGGCTGTGTGCATTTCTCTGTGGACTGAGGCTTTGATACTTTCACAGTATTAATATAGAAGCTAGAGCTGATCTATAATCACACTACACATGGACACAGACCTTTACACTGGAGGAGCTATAATAAATACTGTAGATAATTAGCAGTTAGTGCAGAGGTGAACAATCAGCTCTAAGTGTTTCGGGTTTTCATATCAGAAGCTACCATCTTGTCTGTTTCAAAATAAAATGCTTTATCTTTAGGTAATATGTTTTTATTTTTATTTTTCTTAATTCTTTTTTATTTTTTGACCTCATTCCTCAAACCATCTGCTCATTGGGGGGAATATCTGGGAGCTGAACTGTTGGCGGCGGCAGAATGTTAAATGGTTTGTTGTGTTATGGCTCCTAACTGCATCACAGCGTGTCAATAAACACTGCAGTCTGGTGTTGATCTTTCATGGAGAGAGTAAACACGGTAACACAACGCTTTGACGTCACCGCAGAGGCTCATACAACACAGGCGGCTGTGAAATCAGCACTCTGACGTCAGACGGACTCTGCAGAGAGAAAAGTGTTTTCTGAAAGCGTCACGCAGCCGTATCAGCGTGAGCATCTACAGACTGCAGTCTGATGCCGTGTGGGCAACAAACAACACAGACACACAGAGCTGAGCTGAGGCTGCAAGGACTGTTTTACCTAGAAAGCACTGGGCAAGCTGATTGTAGAAGTGTCTGACATAAAACATAAGTTATTGTCTGTTTACAGGATTTACTGCAGGATTTTTACTGATTTCTGCACAGAACAGACAGTTAATCCACTAAACGCTGATGCACTTTGTCGCCTTGTTCCACAGTAAAACTCAGGGTTACATGTGGTGTCAGAGGCCACATGTGAAGGTTCCCTGTGAGAGTCTTTGGCCTCCGGATCCAGTTTCCTGTCTATACCCTGTGGACCAAAGCCTCTGTCACAAAACACATTTGGATCCACTCAAGTTGAAGTGTCTGAGGAACGACGGCACGCAAACCTCAGATCAGCCTGATTTAGCTTCTGTGATCCCAGCACGGCGCCACGGATATCAACAGAAATACAACTGATGCATGAAGAGAAGAACGAGCGCTGCTTCACTCTCAGGCGATCTAAACTGTGAAATCAAATAATAAAGAAGCTCCAGCAGAGAGTCTCTGTCAAGAGTTACATAACGCTCTGGATCTTAAATATCTTTTTTTAAAAATGGCTAAAAAATGAAATACACACTTCCTCTTTACCTGTAGGCATGGATGGATTACTGGACAGGCCTGCTGGACACAGACCAATGAGCCGAAGCGGGTCAGGGGGCCCCTCAGTTTCACCTGCAAAATGTCACTGAAAGAGACACAAAAATATAACCACGAAGAAACTCAAGAAGAAGTAAAATGACACAAATGAGACTCAAATGACTCCAAAGAGACAAAAAACAACTAGAAAGATGAAAAACAGCTACAAAGAGACGAAACACAACTACAAAGAGATGAAAAACAACCGTTAAGTCACTCTGACTGACCGTGAAACTCAAAATCCCCACAAACTCGGACCGACCACAAAAAGAGGCCAAATGACACAAAGAAACTCAGAAGCTTTGGGTTCAGAAACATTTATTGTAGTTGAAACAAGTAGTTTTATCTTCCAGGACAAACATCAATGTTATGACCTACATAATGTCAACCATGTCAAACATGTTTGTACAAAATGTAATTTTAGCTTCAGCTCACTCAGAACTTTAAACTGTGGTAGGATGTTTCTCTCCAAAAATGCACTTTGGGAGTTGTAGTTTTTTATACTTTCTTTGCCTTTTTATTCACAGAGGCAGATATTCTTTAATAGCCGTTGTTCATCTTTCTACATTTCAGGTCGGGGTCTCCTCCAGCTTCACGACTCTGTGACAGTGACAGACTGACATGACAACAAACACACAGCAACACTGTGTTTCTGCTGTTTACTGTTGTGTTATAAATATACACGGCTCTGTGTGTGTGTTGCAGAATAATAATTCATCCTGTTTATTTGATTTGGAGGACGACCTACGCAGGGCTTCCACAGTTTGGCTCCACATCAGGGCTAAAACCGTCTGAGCTCTGAATCACGCTGTCTATTTTCAGCCTGCCTTCACTTCCTACCAATAAAAACAACTTGTTGCTTCAGGAGAACTGCGACGTCACGCTCTGACTGTAAACACTCCGGGCAGTATTTTTGGCGCACAAACCGGGCCTCCGTGTCACATTGTGAGTAGGTGGGTGTCAAATGGATTCTACGAGAAGATCGTGGAGCTGAGAGGAAGCGAGGAGGTGTCACCTCCGCTGGTGTCCTCGTGATCACAAGTTCACTCGCACAAATTATATTTTTACTGTAGGTTTTTAGGAAGTCACCATGAGGATGTCCAGGTGGCTCAGTGGACGGTAATCAAACATGGAGCAACAGTCCAGAAAAATATCATCGGCAAGTGAAATAAAATCCATAAACTTCAGCTGTGAGTGAAGGAATGTTAAAAGTTAATAAGCTGCAGCAGTAAGTTAAAGCTCCTCCAGTGTAAAGGTCTGTGTCCATGTGTAGTGTGATTATAGATCAGCTCTAGCTTCTATATTAATACTGTGAAAGTATCAAAGCCTCAGTCCACAGAGAAATGCACACAGCCTGTATTCAGAAACTGAGCCTTAAAACCAGCCGTCAGGACTTCTGGAACTTTGTGATGTCACAACAAAGCAGTCACCAAGCCCCGCCCACCTGGACCCACCATCCAAACCTTGCAGGATTTGGTTTCTCTGAGTGTTTTTACCTGAAATCTGCTTTATTTTTATTGGATCACTCAGAAAACAGTCAGCCAATCAGAAGAGAGGCTCAGAGCCTATGGTTATGTTAGATGTAAGTCAGTAATTTCAAATTAATCCATAATTACATATATTTAATCACACTATCATTTTAAACCCTGAAGATTCACCTGTTTCCTCATCAGCTGCTCGACCTACTACAAAATCATTCATTCATGGCGACATTTTCATGGGATTTCTCGACAGACACTCAACTCATACTTTCATATATCCACCATTTTATCTTTATTCCTGCTAGCAACCTGACTGCTAGTCTACAGAAGACAGAAGCCAGGGTTAGCTTGCTAGTTAACGCTAGCTAACATGGTTAAATAACATCAGTTGACATTTTTCTGGTGACGTCAGGTACCACTGTGATATTCTCACATGACGTTAGCCTTTTCTGCCCTTGCCCTTTCAATCATATGCTAGCATGCCTAAATCAGTTGCCTTGGAGACGTGGCCTCTTGGCAGGCACATTGGAATGATCTAATATGACTTCACTCCAAACATAGTGTGAACGAGTTCACTCAACTATTGGTAGGGACGTGTCCCTACCGTCCATATGCAAACCTACGACCTCGGCTACGACAACACTTTGTACAAGTCAGTTCAGCCCAGGTGATGGATATCTAACTTTACGGTGTGTTTAAAGATCAGCAAACTTCCAGCAGACATGTCGGTTTTGACATTTGTAGCCGAGGTGAGGTCGTGTTTGGTGGATGTTTTGCTGAATCAGCCGAGAAGAAAGGAGGTAAAATTTGATCAGAAGAGGTCACTGATCTGGAAACAAAACACCAGGTCTGAACCGTCCTCTCCCTCCCACTGCTTCCTGTTTCTGTCTCCTGCAACCTCAACAATAAACACCAATAAATCTGTTAATAGGACGATAAACAATCTCTCCATAAAGTAGGCTGTCATCTCCCTTTTTATTAGTGTGTGGGTGGGTGTTTCCCAGTAGAAAGACGGTCCAAATTAACTGCCCACATCTCTATAACGAAATGTCAAACATGGATGCCACAACAAGTGAGTCACAGGCATGAGTCACTGTTGATGTTGTTCAGGCTTCAAAAATCTCAGTTTAATGTTCGATCAGTGTTTTGTTTTACTGACCCTGCAGCTGGATCAGAGAGAGGGAAAGGCTGTCACATTACCTTCTGACCCCAAAACAGCTGAGACTCAATCCAAACTGTGATGGATAAAGACGATGTCCACGATCAGAGAAGTCAACTACGAGTCCCAGAAAGCTTTGCAGTAAGAGGCCTTCAGGTTCTGTTGTTAATGGTTTGGTGAAGTTACACTTGATTCAATTTACTTTCAGGTTTTTTGGTCGTTTCAGCAGCTCGCAGCAACAAAGCTTTCTGAATATGCTCAAACACTTGAGCTGCAGTGGCTCATGGGAACTGTAGTTTTCAGAACCGTTCCTTGTATTAAATTAAGGAAAAACAAAAAGCGAGGCTGAGTCTGTCTGAAATCTCACCCAACCTTTTTAGAGGTGGAAAATACACGTTTATTTTTATTTTTGTTTATTTTTCCTACGTTTATTTTTCTTAGTTTTTTATTTATTTATTAATTAAGTTTCATTTATTTGTCTAAATCACTGACTATTGTCTTCTTTTGAATTTTAACTGTATTTGTTTGCATCTTGACATCATTGCAAATGTGGGAATAAATTAAATGAAATCAACTTCCCTGTTCATTACTCCATGACGCCCTCAGTTCATGGGTGTATAAAGAGAGCTGGATGATAGCACTGACCATAAACATGGTCAATTATTATACTTCACTATATTATTTTATTTCCTGAAAGTTTAATGTTTGTGTGTTGCTGCAGCACAGCTTTGTTTGTTTGTTGTGTGTTTGCTATAGCGCTGCAGTGTGCAGTCTTTGGTATATTAGCCTAGCACTTCATCATGTTTGTTAGAAGTGAAACCAAATACTGCCCCGAACCAGCTTCTAAGATTGAGAATCACTGATCGACAGTCTGATAGATCAATCAGAGAATCAGCATTTTGTAGTAATCAGCCCTTTAACGGCATCAACATCAAGAGCTGTCAATGTGAGAGTGTTTTCATTCAGGGATTGTAAATTTTACTTGTCAGATTTTATGTTTTTCAAATACTGATGATTTTAAATTTCAAATTCTTTTCTTTTTTTTGTAGTCATTTTGCATCTATTGTCTTTTTACTTTTAATTTTTCATCATTGTTTTTTTTATTTATTAATTTTTTTATTTATTATTATCTTTTTTTATTTATTTTCTATTATTATCATGTTGGGTTTCCCCTTCTGTTCTTGCAGCTGAGACATTACATGTGATGGCTGTTTGAGTAATCACTGGGGGCTAAGACCACTCAAAGTTAAATATTATGTGGCATGCTGGGTATTGTAGTGCGTCTTCTTGGCGGTTATTTAGATTTAAAATGAAAGCGTTACTTCAGAGGAGGAGCGTTATGATCTTATGAATGACCGTGACAATGGTCACCGCTCCATTTTGTTACAGTTTCGATTAACCTTTGTTTTGTGCTACCGAGCGCGTCAGTGATGGCCGCGCTGACTACATATCCCACAATGCACGAGGTGTAAACTGTAAAGTGCCGTCTGGTGCGGACGTGTTTGACAGTTAATCAAAAATGGTGTAGTGCAGTCGGGAAGACTGACCGAGTGAGATCCTGACTGAAACTCTCCTCTTCACGTTCACGTCGTCATTAAGCGGTTGTGTCGTTTTTCTACGCGCGAGCCCTCACGTGTTCATTAGCAAAAAAAAACAAAAAAACACACACGAATGAATGAGCACGTGAAGGAGCAGAAAACAGACCGCTAAGTGCGGCCAATGAACGCGGTGTTAGGCTGACCGAAGACAGGCAAAAAGAGAAGAGGTACCACTCTGTCCTCATCTCGTGCGACCACAATGTTATAAAAACACCAAGATAACTCCACTTCACTTCATACTTGATGCATGCAATTTGTTTTTAATGATATAAAATTTAAAATATATATTTTTTAATTTCTAGATACTCATATATTATTCTGTTACACCGTGTATTTGAATATATTATAATAGACCCCTGGGCACCAGCATGTTAAAGGGTCCCCACCCTCCATGAGCCAGACTATTTTTAGTAATTTTGTGTCTGGTTGTTTTTAGTTTATTTTTAGTCATTTTGCATCCGTTTTTTGTTGTTGTTTTGAGTCTATTTATAGTCGTTTTTCATCTCTTTTTGGTTGTTTTTAGTCTATTTTTACTAATTTTGCATCCATTTTGGTTGTCTTGAGTCTATTTTTTACTCATTGCGTCTCTTTGTCATCATTTTACATTTGTTGTCACTAGTTCTGTTTGTGTTGATTTTATGTCTCTTCGCAGATGTTTTGTGTGTCTGTGGAGTCTTGTGTCTCTTTTACATCTCTTTGTTGTCATTTTATTGACATTACAACAAGAAATATAAACAGTAATTTCACACAGATGCTCTTTGACCCCTTGGGGCGCCTGGTCCTGCCCGCTCCATAAAACAAGGAAGATTTACACTTCATCTCATGAGCTAAGAATAAAATAGACCAGGATAAATTTCCCGGAAACAACCCAGTTTGTTTGTTTGTTTGATTGTTTGTTTATATTCGTACACATCTCTTGTGCAATCAGACTCAAGGAGATGATTGTACAACCATCCACAGGGTCTAAAATCCGACGGGGAAGAATGCCTGCGGAGTGAGTCATCATTCTCACAGACGATCTTTGGCGCTAGCGAACGAGCTACCGCTAACGAGCAACAAGCGGAGACCGGGCAGCGCGTTCCTCGCCTCGGTATGATGCCCGGTGACAGCGACATGACCTCCATCGTCCAGAGAATAGCTCGGCAGGCTCTCGTCACCTTCAGGAGCCCGCCCCGGGTCGGTGAGGACGCGGGTAAATCTTTCCTGGAGAACCAGAGCAAACTGAAGAGCCTGATGACGGAAGTACGAGCCGCGGACCTGAAGCTCGTCCCGCGGAGAGCCGACGACAGCTCGCCCGGCGTGCTCCCTGCGGTCCCGTACCACCACGGCGCGCCCCCGGTCACCTACATGCACATCTGCGAGACGGACCAGTTCAGCATGGGGGTGTTTCTGCTGAAAAGCGGCGCCTCCATCCCGCTGCACGACCACCCGGGGATGCACGGCGTGCTCAAAGTCATGTACGGCAAGGTCAGGATCAGCTGCTTCGACCGGCTGGAGCGGCCGGCCGGCGGCACGCAGGCGGCGCCTCCGCTCCCCGCGGCCCAGCTGGGCGCTCTGCGGCGCTCCGTGCTCCGCTCCACCGGGGAGTACACGGAGGAGAGCGGCCCGTGCGTGCTCTCGCCCGACCGGGACAACCTCCACCAGATCGACGCCGTGGACGGCCCGACGGCGTTCATGGACATTTTGGCCCCGCCGTACGACCCGGACGACGGCAGAGACTGTCACTACTACAGGGTCCTGACAGACGCGGAGGGTAAAGACACAGAGCAGAAGGAGCAGAAGGAGAAGGAGGTCTGGCTCATGGAGATCTCACAACCTCCGGATTTCTGGTGCGGAGGGGAGCCGTACCCGGGCCCGGAGGTCTCCCTCTGATCCACCTGACTGACCTGCATTCGCAAAATGTCTTCTTTGAGGTTTATTGCCCCTGTAGTGGCACGAGGCTTGGACACGGTTGGGTCTCTAAATCTTAGAAATTAAAGGGTCAACTCTGGGCTTTATTCATGACCGGGAATGTAACTTTGCAGAATAGGTGTACAGCACGGCGCCAGGTGACGTCACTGTCAGGTGTCGTTAAGGTGAAACACAATAACTCAAGTTTCCATTTCAGTTGGGCAAAAAATGGGAGCCTCAGGCAACATTTAACATCCTGTTTGTCCTGTGATCCCTCTGTTTGTATAGTCAGGACATTGGTGTCATTGACTCATTTCCCCTCATCACCCTGCTCTGAGCTCTGACAGCTTCTCTGTTATAGAGACACTAATTGAGAAGTTTCACATATTTGTGTCTGACTCCCAGAAAGAGAATTAAATCACATTTTCATGATGTATTTGCTCCTTAAACTTTAATTTTCTCATGTCGGCGCTGTTGTCTTATCTCATATGTCGCTGGTGAGGGCAGCGATTTCTAAAATACCCCCAGACCATGTGGGAGAAGTTTGTCGTCCAATCAGGAGCAGGAGCCATCCACCAGCTCAGACGGTCAAAATCTGAAAATCACCAAAATTGGAGATCGGAGTGACGTGAGCAGGAGGCTAAATTAAGACCCTGAAAGGTATTTTTTGCAGGAGTAATGCCAAGAAATGACAAATTGATGATGTGCAGGGGGCTAGTGCTGCGTTCGAGAGAAGTCGGGAAGTCTGAATTTGCTGCTTTGCATGTTGTTCGAAGTCATTGCCTCAAGTTTTGGAAATTTGTGCAAGATTTCTGAACCTCAACAGCATCACACAGTAAAACTTTAACTCTTAATGCACTAATTTTCAGCTTTTGATATCACATGACCTTCGGTCTGAGGGAGGGAGTTGCTGCTGGGAAATAGCTCATGGTATTTATTTAAAATGTGTACCTATACTAACAGTTGCCTTCAAAGTTATCTGACATATCAGCTATTGCACGAGGTCTGCACTGCATGAAAACACTGACACACAAAGTCTGGAGTTATAATCCACCTGCTGCAGACTCCTGACTGCACCTTGAATGCAGCATTAGAACCAAATCTGTCCTTTAAGCTGAGTTGACCCGAGCTAAGTTGCCTCTGTGGAAGTTGCCCGGGACCGAGGGGGGGAGGGGGAGGAGGGGGACTGTGTCCATGTGTTTTAATCGTCTTCCTGCTTCAGGCTTTTGTGGCGTTTGTTTGTCGGATTCAGAAACTGTGTGAATCTTCAGGTCTCTTTTGAAGACTGAGAAATATCTACAAACTGCAGGTTTTCCCGGCGCCGTGACGACGACTCTTCAAACTGTAGACGAGCTTCTTCTTGTCTGAGAAAAGTCTGATCCTCAGGATTGTGTTTGTGGTTTCAATCGCTGACTGATTGTTTGAAACGTGCACAACATTCAGCTTCTTAGCACAAACTTTGACCTTTGTCTTTTCACTCTTCGGTGCGGCTGCAGTCGGTCTTCATGAAGATGTTTCTGGGGGAATTTGAGGGTTGGCTTTCTAATAAAGTTTATATAGTGAACATTGTGATTATTTGCAGCTCAGACTGAAGTGAAACAAGCTGCTGAACAAATACTTACAAAGAAATCAGCACTTGACTGAAAAGCAGCATTGTGCTTCATGTTGGAGGTTTCTTATATGCACTACTGACAAATGATGCGTCATCTGCAACTAGCATGAAAGTAAAGCATTTATATTAGTGTGGCAGAACTGAAATACTTTCAGACACTTTCAGAAATTAAGGGGGAAAAAAAACTTCAAACTTTCCATCAGAACAGTGAATGAGAGTAAATGTGCTGTCTGTCGTATCACTGTGGGGATGTAGACTGAGCAGGTCTAAATCAGGCCTGAGTCCAGAGTCAGTAGCTGTGTCCATGTGTTTTTGCCTGTAATGAAGAGTTTCTGTTTGTTCATATAAAATGTGCTGTTTATTTTGGCCTAAATGCGCCTGATTCTTTTCGCTTCAAGATGTGACGATGAGCTGCTGTTAAAATTACAAAAAAAGAAAAAGTTCAGGGAAGCAACTTCACCTCTTTGACGTGATGTTTGAATCCAGCTGCTGCTCTGAACCTTTCTTTGTATTTCAATAAAACTTTTCATTTCCAAGCACTGCTCCAGCATCTGTAGATTGTAGTTTATCTCAAGCACAGTGACGCCTTTAAACCCAAATCTGAATCTGTGTATTTGCAGATTTTAAAACGCGTCTCAGTTTCATACGGACACATCATAAACCCTCAGGGCCTCTGTCTATCTTATGTAATTGTTTTATATTTGGATCATGTTTTCCTCCTCCTCCATGTTCACACTGAAACACTGCATCTGTTTCACATCAGAAGCCCATCAGCGGCTCAGAGGGGACTGATGATGATCCGCCTTTTGATGACGTTTGGCTTTTATTGTGAAACATCTGCAGGAAGTAATGAGTTTCATTGGCGGCTTTAGCTTGACGTCAAAAAAAATAGTTAGTCAAGGAGCGACTCAAAACATTGATTCTGTCCAGTTTCTGAAGACATCTCAAGCTAATGAATGCAACACAGAAGTTAGCATTAGCGTTAGCATGGTAACCAGTAGTTTCAGTCCAGCAGCCAGTGGTTGGCGGCATCGTGACCCATTAAAAACTAAGAAGGAAACAACAGAATGAGACGGTGAAGGTGGTCGGCCAAGTTCAGAGAAAAGAAAACCATCAGCTACCTTCACAGTCACACTGAACCTGGGGAAATCCACAGGAACGTTATTCTCTAAAAATATAATTGAATTCACTTTCAGCGGAACTAAGACGCCCAAACCTGAGAAAACAGCTGCTGCAACTGTCAGAGTAAATATACTGGAGGAGAGGGGGCAATATTTACCTCTGAAATGTAGGGAAGTATAAAGGAGCATAAAATGGAAATACTCAAGTACTTGTACCTTTAAATTATACTAACGTACAGTACTTGGAGTAAATGTACTTAATTACTTTCCACCACTGCTAATACAATTACTGAGCCTTCGGTACATAGATTTTAATATTGTTCAATTACCTGACACGCAGAGACTGTTAACATGAAATAATAAACTTTATATTGATGTCAAAACATTTCTAATCCTCCATCGTCTCACTGCTCGTGACTGAGCGCCAGAGTTTGTACCATTAGATCATATATGATGTTTTATATTGGTGACTAGCTAGTAAGCTTAAGTGTAACTTAAGGCTAAAGGTAGAAGCTAGCTAACATTAGGGCCCATCTGTAGATATTAGACACAATCTGATTCAGAAACTCAGAAGGTCAGAAAGTAAAGTTAGCTACTGCTGCTAAATCTAAATTATTAAATTTGAACATCTTATTTCAGGACAACTGTACAAACTGCATCTTCTGTTGAAGATCATGTGATAAGATCAAAAGCTCCAGAAGATAATAGACATTCATGTGAGATTGTATCATCAACTTAACATGCAGGGACTAAACTGACACAAAATAAAAAGCAGACAGTGAACTGAACAAAACATTTATTTGCATCGACAAGAAGCATCAGTCCTTCAGAATAAAAGCTTTAGTGCTCGACTTGTTTGCATAAAAATTATAAAACACAAAAACACAACTTTTATTTGTCCAGTGACTCTTTCTCTCTCTTTCTCTCCGTCTCTTTATCGCACATTCATCAGGTAGAAATGCTGGTCAGATCTTTATAAGTAGTGCAGGTCTGTGCGAACACCAATAAAAAACTCTGTCACAGATGATCAGGCCACAGTCACATGATGCGTGTGACGCTGTAGAAACTGATGAGCTCTCCATCAGGCGTGGAAACACCTTTTTAATTAATACAAAACCAGATTTTTTAAAAAAAGGCTTCATTTTGCTGCATGTATAGCCAATGAAGTTTTCACTGAGTTTCCCCACATTAGCTCCGCCCTAATTCGTGATGTCACAGCATCTCTTGGGGGCGCTCTGACATCACTTTGGCATCAAACCTCCCTCCTGTCCTTTTAATTACTCTTTAGATATTGTGTAGCAGGTGGAGTCTGCAGGGCGACATGTTAAAACAGCTGCAGTGTAAAAAACAAACCAGGAAGATTATTAATGAGATTCAGACAAAACACTGACTGTACATTTGTCTCTTATAAAACCTGCAAAACGTCTTTTATCTTGAATATAAGTCCATATCTATAATGTTTATCAGCTCTGCGGTGGAGGACAGGATGTAAAGATCCAGCTCACTGACATTAAGTCAGATTTGACAGATACTGATGGTCAAAGATCCTCAATGACATTTCCAAAACCAAAACGCTGAAGAGAAAGTCTTGTAGTTTTTCATGTGAATCTAGTGTTTTTGATCTTGAAGATTGTGAGTTTGGAGGAAAAGAAACTCAATGCACATGCGAGGGTCCAAAAATCCCCTCAGATATCAGTGTGACTTTTTCTTTTGTTTTTCTTTTTTTAGCTGCAGCTGAAACCAAACCGCCCACATCACTCAGACTCAGTCGACCTGCAGCAGCTCCGTCTCCTCTTTGCAACGAAATCCCTGAGAATCCCTAAAGTAGGCTGCAGCAGTTATTCTGAAACCCACTGTGTTTTAAAGAGAACTGGCAGCTGACTCTGAAACCAAACTCCCTTCACATTTCAGTGAATTTAAGACCCAAACATCCAGCTCTGATTGTGTGGGAAACATTTCTGTTAATAATCTGGACCTCTGACTCATGACCCAGGAACTATGTTTGAGTTACAGTGATAAATAATGACACACCATGATTTCTGCTTCTCCCTGATTTTGAACGTATGGCTTCCAAACACATTTCTTCCTCTTTTTCTGAGAACAGTAAACTACAGGATAAAGTCTGGGCTCTGCTGGCGGGAGCCCAAATACAGTTCACGTTCATACTGAGAGAGTTTACATTCAGCAGCATCGGGTGGTGCGCGCGCCGTGCAGGATTAGGACGTGGAGGACTTCTTCTCCTTCTGCCGCAGGTGGATCTTCATGTGCCTCCTCCTCTCGTCGCTCCGGGCGAACTTCCTCCCGCACTGGTCGCAGGAGAAGGGCTTCTCCCCGGTGTGCGTGCGGATGTGGGTGGTGAGGTGGTCGCTGCGGCTGAAGTTCCTCATGCAGATGCGGCACTGGAAGGGTTTGTGGCCCGTGTGGATGCGCAGGTGCCGGCTCAGCTCGTCCGACCGGGAGAACCTCCGGTCGCAGCTCTCCGCCGGGCACGGGTAGGGCCTCTGGTGCACGGGTGTCTTGCTCGGCCGGTTCGGGTACTTCCTGGGTCTCAAGATGGGCCTGAGGGGGAGGTTCTGGTGGCCGGGGAAGGCGGCGGCCATCGGACCTTCGGAGGCCGGCGAGGGCGCACCGAGCGTAAAGTTCCTGATGGTGTTGAGAGGCGTGAGAGGGGGAGGCACCCTGAGGGAGTCCAGTGGGTACGGGAGGGATTTCCTCTCCGGGAAAGCCGCCTGGATGTCTCTCTGGCAGCTCTGCTGGTAGAAGCCTCCGTACTCAGGCATGATGGAGAGCAGCGCGGCGCCGTCAGCTGTCGGTTTGGGCGCAGTGTTGTAGGACGGAGGCGGGTGGTAGGAGACGGCGCAGGTGGACGTCGCCAGGTAACCTCCTGCCGACTGGTCCTGGTACATGTCCGCGCTGCAGGAGTAGGAAGGAGCCGGGTGGGGGTGGGGGTGTGGGTGTGGGTGTGGATGTGGGTGCGCGTACATGTGGCTGATGTCCGGCTGGCCGTGCGCCATGGTGCCGTGCCCCGCGTCCGCTGCGCCTCCTCCTCCTCCTCCTCCTGCTGCGTAAATATCGGGGGATGCTGGAGGTGACCTGGACACCGGAGCCGGGCCCGGGGTGGCGATGTCAGCGCTGACCACGTTGATGACGTCCCCCGGAGCCCACGGTCCTCCTGCACCTCTGGAGTCCACCGAGAACTTGCCGGTAAACGCCACGGGGTGCGTGCGTAAAGTTGCCACGTACTGCGCCAAGTCGCCCTGGAGCGGCAGCTCAGGTGCGCTCTTCCCGCCGAACAGAAGGTCACCTGAAACACGTAGAAAGGTGCAGCCAGTTAGAACACAGCAGAGTATTCACCTGAACATTTGACGCCATGTTTGGATGTTACGCACAACGACATCACGACTTTACACCTTCATCATCATTACGATCCAGTCACATCCAAACCGCCTGATTCTTACCGACTTCATCCTCCTCATGTTTCCCCGCGGGCTCTTCCTCCCCGACAGCCTCCTCTTTAAAAACCACCGACGTGTTTGAAGACAGCCCCCCCTCCGCCGGGTACACATCTTTGGAAACATTATCCACGGCACCGCCGAGAGACGCACAAACCTCATCAACTATTTTCGCGGTCATTCTGTCTTGTGAGACGCAGCCGGTTAAAACTAATTACACATTGAAGTCTAATTAGCTGCCGAGTCTCTCACATGATGAATATTTCCCCTCATTTCGTCTGTTCCGCCTCTCACCTCCTGTAAACAGCTCCTGGATGGTGCAGTATGGTTATAAAGGGAATCTCTGGTTGTCCCGTTACGTCATTTACCAAATATGGACTTGGTCTTAAAAAAAGTGAAAAAAAAAAAAAAAAAAGAAGAGGGAACTCCAGAAATAGGTCTGGTGGATCAGGTCGTGACGTAATATGGAAACAATTAAAATGATTTCTTTGAGTTTAAATAAATAAAAACAGATAAATCTCTCAGCTGATACATGCATCTGAATTTTGTGATTTTATTTTTGACATCTACCATAAACATCAGCACGTGCTTCAATGCCTCACGTGAAGATTTTAAAAAATAAAAGAAGAAGAAGAAGAAGAAGAAGAAGAAGCTCCATCATTCGGAATTCCGGTCACACCGGAAAGCTTTCTTCTCCATACAAGGACTCTCCGGTGAGGATCTCTCTGCTTATATGGCCGGTATCCGGTTAAAAGGAGTTACACGGTGTTGTCGTGGTGCCAGATGAGCCCACACACCGACTCCACAGACCCATTTGTTTTCTCTCCCGCCCTGTCAGGGGCAGATTACTGCTGTGATGGAGCCTGGCTGAGATTGATGAGGCTGATTAAGTGGGAGAATAATGGTTGAATCAGAGAATTAAAAATGTATTTATACATTTAGTGTCTGATGAAGATGTAAGACTCTCACCCCACAGAAATATTATTATTTAATATTAATAATGTTATTAAATGATTTGAAAAGACACAGGCTTATTTTTAAAAATATATAAATATTTTTGTTTTCATTCTAATTTTCCATCATTTGATTAAATTTTAGAGGCTAATCATTATTTCCTCGTCTCGTATTCCCCTGATTTTATCACAAGCAGCAACTGAGCTCTTTAGCATCATTAATAATCTGCCTCTGGGATTAAATCAGGATGTTAAACACTGCAGGAAACTTTCACATTCGATCAAATCTGATGTTTGGAGGTTTAAATTTCTCATTAATTCTATTTTCTACTGATCTAATGAAAGTTCATTTTCTTTTATGATGGATAAAGAGTTCGACAGCCAATCGGGTGACAGACAAAGTTCTTCAGTCTTTTCTACAGGGAAACACACACACACACATTAAACAGTATGTTTTAAAGAGAATTTGCCCCTCAGGCTCATTTTGTTTGTGTAAAGTCTCAGAGGATGGAGACGTTGCTGTTTTATCATCATTTCTCGGAGCTGTTTTTATTTTAATCGTGTTGATCCAGCAGCTGTGAAAGTGCTTTCAGACGCACGTTCTTCCTGCTTCACGCTCTGTTCGTTCACGTCCAATCCAGAAACTGAGTCCATGTGTGAAAACGTTCAGTTCATGTGGGAACAGGCTCCAGCTGAAGCTCAGATTAATCCAGGTGGAGGGAGACGTTCAGACGCTGCAGCCTGACGTTACCGGTGATGTCACGTTTTCTTATAAGAACAAAAAGAAGTGAACTGTTTTTCTTTTTTTTAAAGCCGCTGGAACTTTGAATATTTCTATAATTAGGATTAAATAAGCAAAAAATATGAAGTTCGGGAGAAAAATCCTGAGATATTATTTATTAGGTGTTTCCTAAAGAGTTCAGACCGTGTGGATGTGGTTTGATTCATGTTGAAAAACTTATAGTTCTGGCAGATATTGTGATTTCAGCTGAAATGATCGTTTTTTCATTTTCACAGAAAAACATTTAAAAATAAAGATGATGTGATTTTTGTTGGATCTTGTATGTTTCCTCTACGTGTGGAGGATATGATCCGTAGAACAATCAAGCTCCTGTGATTTGGATATTGCACTTGGCCATATTGTGAATTTGATTATATTTGGATTAATTGTGCAGCTGTGGTTCGAGCTCATCGCTCACAGAAAGAAGCTGATGTTTGCAAAAAGCAAAAGTGAATAAACTGTGGCAGGATTTTTCTACCTGAACCACAGAAAAACACAAACTACGTGGAGCACCAATGAAATATCTCCGACTAATCCAGAAGCCACTGCACCAGGAAACAAACTATGGATCCATGATAACTGCAGGACAGAACCTGGATCAGAGTGAAGCCTCTGAGCCCAGACATGTTTAAGACACATTCAGGTCTGAATTTCTACTTATATTAAACAGAATAACTCCAGAGGACGAACCTGTGATTCCTCTGTCCTCGCAGATATTCGAGTGTAAACACGACATATCTAAAGTGTGAGGCTGCGTCTGTTTTAGTGGTTAATGTGCTGATTATTAGAAAGTTGATGAGGCTGAAGCCGTCTGCCGGATCAGAGCGAGAGCGAGAGCGAGAGCGAGCAGGAGGACTGCAGCTCTCCAGCCTTTTGAACGCCCACAGCTACAAAAATGTTGGTGTGTATTGTCGTTGTGTGGCGAACCGCCCACCCTGTGGCAGATGGGGGTTTGGTTGGTCCATGCACACACACACACACACACACACACACACACACACACACACACACACACTGCAAGAAAACACATGCACACACATAGGAAACACACACTCATTCTGGCGCTTTAACACACAAACATAAACACTCCCACACACACAAGTACACACTTTTACTTTCTCTCAGTGTAACACACACACACACGCGCGCACACACACACACACACACACACACACACACACACACACACACACACACACACACACACACACTGCTCCGTGGGGACGGTGCCCTGCTTCCACCCTTCGCCCACGCTCCTCCGGGCCGCTGAGGCTCTGGGGGTTTTTTGGTTTTGTGTTTGGTGGCTCGAGGTGTCAGCCGGGGGTCCGGCGGCTCGGCAGACCCCACCACGCCGATTAATCATCTGTCATCTGCGGTTTTTGTTAATATGGATCTTTGTCTTCGTCCTCAAACGACGCTCGGGTCGCTCACCGCCTGCCGCCCTCGTTTTCCATTTTTGCAACTAAACGTCAACGAAAAACAACAAAAACAACCAAACCGCCGCTTTCTGTGTCTTTCTTTGTCCGAGCTGAAGGTTTTATGAGGTCATCATCTGCTGCTCGAGCGAATGTTGTCACCTTTGAACCCTCATATCGACGCCTCACGTTTGTAGCATCAGAATTACAGCAGCAGTAACTAAACAATAGGCAGCTTTTCTCTGGAGACGATAAAAACATTCAAGCATCTGAACCTCAGTTTTCTCAGTTTTCTTCGACACAACGCTGAACTTTTTATTTCACACTTAGCTCATGCTAACTGCTGCTAGCTGCTTCAGACAGCCTTACAGTAAACAAACTGTTTCCTGGGAATTTATAAAAGCGTTTCATTAAATCTACACAGCTCTCGCTCTCAAACATTGTTTGTTTTTTACTTTCTGTTTGTACGTTTTTTATTTTCCATTTACACATTTATTATTTTCCATTTGAACGTCTTTTATTTGAAGGGCCAATAGTATCAGTTTCAGATGTTTCAAACCTAATTTAATCCAGATTTCTTTAAAGACTCCTTGCAAAGACTAATGCGAAGAGTTGGATCTGTAAATGAGTTCTGAAGCTTCAGTGAATCTCTCTCTGAAAAAGAAATCCCTCGTCCTCTGAGAGTTTCGAGCCCGTCAGGTTGAATCGCTCAGACTCTAAAATAAAAACCATAAATCATCTGAATTTTCTGCCTCTATTCATCTCAGAGCAGTAGGTGTTTTTTTTAAATGATTGATGACTCATTTTAGGATCCTGGTTCATGTTCATCCTGCAGCGCATGATGGAAATCTGGGTTAAAATCAAGAGTTCGATTATGTAACAGCAAATAAACGCTGGATAAATTATTCACGAGGCTTTAAAGTCCCTAATACTCTGGTATGAAAGTCCCTTCAGATTGAGCTCCTGTTAAACCAGTAGGTGGTGTTCAATTTGGTGAAGGGAAATTCCAGATCTGGTTTAGACAAACAGATGACGAATAAACCACCATGACTCATTCTGATATGAAAGTTCATATTAAACCAGCAGGTTTTACTCATTGAGGATTAAATTCTGGACCAGACTGCGGATGAGTCAGGGTTTGGGAGGTTTGGGAGGTTTGGGAGGTTTGGGAGGTTTGAGCGATGAACCCAGAGACCAAAGCCGTCAATAGAAGCGATTGCATATTCATGGGAGATGTATTGACTGCTGAGTGTCGGATAATAGACAGGCACATCAATGAGCGTGGAGCTGCGGTGAATGGCCTCAACATTATCTCTGGGACCCAGAATGTGTCGTCGCTTCACTCCCAGAGCTCGTCGGCTGATATCAAATGAGGATAATTAGCTTTATGAGGGATTCATTCAGGGTTCATGATATTTATGAAGACGAAGAACCACAGGTGGAAAACGCCACGCCGTCCCGAGGAGGCGACAGTTACAGTCCCGACTTTAAACGCACAGAATGAAACAAAACTGGAGAACGATCTAATGAAGAGAACGTTTCTCATTGTAATTATGTGCTATGTTATAAATTATATGTTAATTATGTGCTAAGTCACTAAAATGG